GATCAAAAGGGTGCTTCTACTAAATACTGAGCAAAGGGTCTGAATACTTAGGACCATGTGATATTTCAGTTTTTCTTTTTTAATAAATCTGCAAAAATGTCAACGATTCTGTGTTTTTCTGTCAATATGGGGTGCTGTGTGTACATTAATGAGGAAAAAAAATTAACTTAAATGATTTTAGCAAATGGCTGCAATATAACAAAGAGTGAAAAATTGAAGGGGGTCTGAATACTTTCCGTACCCACTGTATATAAATACTGTATTTAGTACCGCTTCTAAAGAGTCATTTGCGTCCCGTCTCTAATCTGACCTGTTTGATGTGCTCTTTCTTCAGATATTTCTCGCTGTAATACTGCTCCTGACGCAGATTGAGGAGCTGCTGCTGCTGCTGTTCTTTGAGTTCGGACAGTTTCTGTCCGCTGTCTTGATCCAGATTGGCCAGTTCCTGCTCGAAGAACGAGGCTCCGTGTTCAGGACTGGACGACAAACACCTGACGAGACACACCAGTCCGTGAGATGTTCATTCTCCTGATGTTTCTCCACTCAGTCCAAACAGGGATTGGATCAGCGGACGTCTACCTACCTCTTCTTACCGTCTCGTTTGGCAGACTGCTCCTTGATCATCTCGGTGGTCTTCTTGTGGTGTTTCTTCACCAGGTCCTTCATCTCTTTATAGTGTCGTCTCTGCTCTCGGACGAAGCCCTTCTGCTGTTTGAGCTCCTCGACGGTTTGCGCCTCCATCTCTGAGGCAGAAACAGAGGCTTCAAGCACTGTAAAATTAGCTTTTTTAATATCACCACCTCCATATTTCATGAAGCTTTTCTGAAGATCATGTCGATGGATTTTCTAAAGCTGTACATCAGAAATGTTTCAATAATTTATAGCGCATTCAAAATGATTGAAACTCAACGGGCTACCTGATAAAATTTCACCTGTGGCTGTTTGTGTTTTTTGATTTCTCACATAAAATAAGCAAAATGCTGCTTCTCTCAAGATACAGACATCATTTATATTGCACACTTGACTGGGTTATTTCAGTTTTTATTTTTTTGCATTTTAATGTATTTACATTTTATTTAAAATAACCTGTCATGGTTTGTTTATTAGATTTTTTTCCCTGTACATGTGTATAGAAACACAAATTAATTAAATGTCTGTATTATTTTATATTTTAATATATTTTAATTGTATTTAAAATAACCTGTCAGTTTTGTTTATTTGACTTTTTTTGTATATGTTTACAGAAACATATATTCATTTTATATATATACACACACACTTAATATATTAACATAAACAATATTTTATTAATATCAATAATTTGATTATTGAAACAATAATATAATATATAATATAATATAATATAATATATGTTTTAAATAACCTGCCATACATACTGTACAGAAACACAAATTCATTACATTTCTGTATTATTTTATATTTTAATATATTTTGATTTTATTTAAAATAACCTGTCATTAATACTATAAATGTAATTTAATTAATAATATAAATTTCAATGATATATTATTATATATTAATATAAAATAAAGAGTCAGTTACTGACCGGTGAGGACGCTCTGAATCAGATCTTCAGTCTTTGCCGCTGGTTTGGTTGAGCCTGAATCATAATGGGATAAGATCTCATCAGATAAGATTCATGCATATCCAATAATACTCCTCATTTTTCTCTCCTGTCTTGTGGATGCTAGATTCGGATTAGTAGTGCACAGTGCAGATTTATAGTTCAGTATCAAACCTGCATCAGATGAGATGATGTTGTGTGAGGTGTGTGAAGCTCTGACCTGTGGACTGTGGCTGTGAGCTGATCTGGGACACGGGTTTAGGAGCGGCGCTGCTGGGTGTGTGACTCAGTCCGTTCTCAACCGGGACGGGTTTGGGTTCGCTTTTAACCTCCGAAGGGTTTTCAACACCAGGATCTGCCTGAAGGACGAGGAACTTCATCATCAAAACCTCCAATACTATTCAAACTCTCACAGACTGCTTCATTACTAATTCATTACAATGACTTCTTTCATAAGCAGATGAATTCATTAGTAATGAGTAAAGTGATTTGAGTTCAGATGGAGCAATTAGTGCAAGTGCACTCTGATCTACTATGTGATGGTCACGCATACTCCGTCTGAGCGCTTCAGCTCTGGGGATCTGCTGGTGTCTGTACCTCTTTGGTGTCTTTCTCCTCTTCTCCTTCCTCTAGAGTGAGCGCCGCCAGCTGTTTGGATCTCTGCTCCATCAGGTTGACGTATCTGATGGGGTTGGACAGCGCTTCGATGACATCTGATCAGCACAGAAACACACGGCAAACTCACAACACACTCCAGTCCTGCAGCTTTCAATTATAAACATTTTCAAAAAATCCTTCAAAAAAAACAAAAAAACATCCAAAATAAAAGACAAAGAAATTCAAAAATATTCTATTTGATTTTATATAAAATTGGCATTTTAGTTTACTTAACAATTAGCAATAATCAATTTTTAGTTAACAATTATAACTTTCTCACAATATTTTGCAACTTCAAAAACATCCGAAATAATAGTCAAAAAAATTAAACAAATTCATATTTTTAGCATTTTAGTTTACTTAACAATTAACAATAATCAATTTTTAGTTAACAATTTTAACTTTCTCACAATATTTTGCAACTTCAAAAACGTCCGAAATAATAGTCAAAAAATTTTATATTTTTAGCATTTTAGTTTACTTAACAATTAACAATAATCAATTTTTAGTTAACAATTATAACTTTCTCACAATATTTTGCAACTTCAAAAACATCTGAAATAATAGTCAAAAAAATTTAAAAAATATTACATTTGATTTTATATATGACATCAGCATTTTAGTTAACAATTATCATTTTCTACAATATTTTGCAACTTCAAAACTATTTAAAAACATCCAAAATATTCAAAAATATTATATTTGATTTTATATATGACATTAGCATTTTAATTTAGTTGACAATTAACAGTTTGTAGTTAACTATTATAACTTTTTCACAATATTTTGCAACTTCAAAACCTTTCACAAAACATCCAAAATAATAGTAAAATTATTATATTTGATTTTATATATGACATTAGCACTTTAGTTTAGTTAACAATTAAAAAAATAACCGTTTTAGTTAACAGTTATAACTTTTTTTTTATTTTTTATTTTTTTACAATATTTATTCTTCAAACCTTTCAATAAATAATAATAATGCCCAAAAGATAAAACCCAAAGAAATTCAAAAATATTATATTTGATTTTATATATGACATTAGCATTTTAGTTTAGGTAACAATTAACATTTTTGGTAAACAATTATACATTTTCACAATATTTTGTAATTTAAAAACGTTTCAAAAAACATTTAAAATAATGGTCCAAGAAATTCAAAAATAGTATATTTTATTTTTATATATGACATTAGCATTTTAGTTTAATTAACAATTCAAAAATAACAGTTTAGTTAGCAGTTATAATAATTATTTTTTTTTACAATAGTTTGCAAATTCAAAACCTAAAAAAAGAAGAAAACCTCCAAAATAATAGCCCAAAGTATTCAAAGATATTACATTTGATGTTATATATGACATAGTTTGTTTTGTTATTTAACAAATAACAGTTTTTAGTTAACAATTATAACGTTTTCACAATATTTCGTAACTTTTATATGACGTAAGCAATGGTTTGCCCCTTTTAAAGGCTTTTTTCTTATAGTGACATTTTGCTCATACAAACGTAATATCTGAAGATTCATAAACATTTGGAAACCCTCAATGAAGAGGGCTTTTTTTTTTCTTTTTGGCATTTTATGGGTCAGTTCATCTTTTAAAAAGGCCAGATATATTTTGAATATGTTATATTCAACATTTTCATAATAAAGAGCCAAAAGTCCAAAACTATTATCAATAACTTTGATCACATTCACATAAGATAAAACTTCTGACATCGTCTGTTGGGTCTGTATCACTGGTGATATAATATTCAAATACATATTTGCATATTGAATGAATGATGCCTCATTTCTAGAAGTTTTCATAAGTGAAGTCACTTTGTTTCACGCGGTTTTAATAAAGCAAAGTTTGTGTTTTAATTAAAGAAAGGGAAAGTTTCCAGATTTGTGATTGTGTTGGGAATCCAGTCAGTCCAAACAAACTGCTGAGGAGGTCAGTGCTGTCCTTCCTCGGTGGTCTAACACCTTTGAACTAAACAGGTGCATTCTGGGTACTGGAGACGTCGATCTGTCCCACAGTCCCTCGTCTCATAGTTTCGGGATGCAAATGAGGACCAATGAGAGCCGCTGGGATACAGATGGAAACGCTCCTCACAAAAACACTGTGGTGTCAAATCATAATCCACACCAAAATAAGAATGTGTCACATGTAAATAATGCAAAGAAGCCTGACGGTTGATTTTCTTATTATGATGCAGATAGTTTGTGAGATGCACTCATATTTACCCTGGTATTCACATGGTACTCTGAGGTTATTTCACAGGACTCCACAGTAATACTATGGTACTTCTAGTGTTTTCTGACAGTGGCAGAGAAAGTTTCAGATAGTAATGAGTTTCTTACCGGCGAATGTATCGGGAACGTAGTCCTTCACCTCGATATACACAAATATAGCAGGAAGAGTTAGAGCTTGATTCTTTTCATTTCTCAAACCGATGTAACGATAACCTGTGAGAATGTGACAAAATTATGATTTAATAAAAGAAAAGGAAAAAGTTGAACTATATCTGCATTTCATGTCACAAAACGTCTTATAATAATGCAATGCAATACAATGCTATTTTTATGTTGCAAAATAATAATAACAAATTCTTATTAATATACTAAAATAATCTAACTCTAATCTAAATTAAAATGCTAAAAAAAATATATATATATAAATGTAAACTGAAAATATATTTTATTTCCCCCTCACAATACAATGCAATAAAAGAAAAGGAAAAATGTATCTGCATTTTCATATTGCAAAATGTCTTGTTAATACTACTACTACTAAATTATTATTAATATATTAAAATAATCAAACTGTAATCTTAAAAAACACAAAAAATATATAAACTGAAATCATATTTTCCCCTCAAAATACAATAAAATAAAAAGTACAACTATATTATTATTATTGTTGTTGTTGTTGTTAATAATAATAATAATAAATTATTATTAATATATTAAAATAATCTAACTCTACATTAAATGCTAAAAACACATAAAATCAAAACATAAACTGAAATAATATTTTACATCCCTCATAATACAACACATTAAAAGAAAAATAAAGTACAGTATCTACATCTTCATGTAGTAAAATGTATTATTATTATTATTATTCAAATATTAAAACAATCTAAAATAACACTAAATTAAATGCTAAAAACACATCAAATCAAAACAAACTGAAATATTTTTTATATCTTCGAGCCAGGGGTTGTAACACTCCCTCACAATACAATACAATAAAATAAAAATAAAGTACAACTATATCTACATCCTCATGTTGTCAAATGTATTATTATTATTATTATTATTATTCAAATATTAAAACAATCTAAAATAACACGAAATTAAATGCTAAAAAATCATTTTTTATATCCTCCTTCACAATACAATACAATAAAAGAAAAAAAGTACAACTATATCTGCTTTATAGTACATAAAATAAAAATGTAACAACCTTCAATAGTTTCCTTCAATAACAATTTTCTTTTTTAAATGAAGAACAATTCTTGAATCACAATAGATCGCAGTTAATCGATTTTATATATGGATACTCCCAGATTCTGGTAACAAATGAAGTTTGTGTCATATTTTAGCCTATGTGGAGAAGGTTTTGAATACTGTGTTCAACTTCAAAGTCATAAAGGTTGAACAGCCCTGGTTTAGTCAGTATAAATGAAACGCCGGTTTGTTGTCGTCAGTGTTGGAGAAAGTTACTTTTAAAAGTAATGCATTACAATATTGCGTTACTTCCTAAAAAGGTAAATAATTACGTTACTTAGTTACTTTTTATTGAAAGTAATGCGTTACGTTACTTTTGCGTTACTTTTTAAATCTGGGCTGGGCTTGCTTGTTTGCTTTTAATATAAAAAGTTCTATTTTTGGCAAATATAAAAGCCTTTCGCACCAAAAGCCTTAGGCTGAAGGAAAAGTAAATTCATGTCTGTACAGTAGAACGCAGAAGAAGAAAGTTCAATACTCTTCAGCAATAAAAAAAAGAAGAAGAAATTTATCTTGTGTAATTTCTGCTTATTAGTATGGTTGGATCATTGAAGGTCAGCAGCAAATTGGTTAATAAAATGGGATTAAATACATAAAGGATATTTGTATTATTTAACATATTTAATTATTGCAGCTTTGAGCCATATTCTGAGCTGCTTTTAACTGTTTTTATTAATTTTGAGGAAAACTAAATCTGATTTTTTATTTTTTCTGCGAGTGAGTGAGTGAGTGAGTGAGATGAATCAATGCATGTTCCTACCTGGTCTCATGGCAAAAATGTACCTGGGGGCACATTTTCGCAAGACGCGAAATACGTACCAATAAGTACATATCACTTATTCTAGAGCTGAAGTAACATCTTACTCCCGTTTTCTCTCAACATGGGGACAGGAGAGCTTTCAATCAATAAATGGGAAAAAAAGTAACTTGCGTTACTTATTTGAAAAAGTAACTTTCAACTTTTTAACTTTTTAACTTCAATTAAAGAGTAATGCGTTACTTTACTAGTTACTTGAAAAAAGTAATCTGATTACGCAATTCGCGTTACTTGTAATGCGCTACCCCCAACACTAGTCACCTGTGCACATCATGAAAGCATTTTTTAATTCTTTAATGCAATTATGTACAATTGTCTGCTGTTATCAATTGCTAATGTCATGTCGCTCAAAATGGTTCTTTGTTTAATCTAGGAATTAGTTCATAAATCAATGCAATGGAATTTAATGCAAAATGGTTGAACTAGTTGTCACGGTGCATCAAGTGCACCAATATTTTCTATACATTTCTATGACTTATTTGTAAATGTGTCCTAAAAATGTACGCACGAGAATAAAGAACAGATGTCGTATTCACTGCATAAGCTCACTGGGATCATAGATATCTACGTTATTATAGCAACAGCCGTGTCAACATTAAAGGGTCCGACGTGACAACCAGACCACGTCTCCTAGCAACTCCCAAATAAACTCGGAAAAAGCTCGTCGGTGTCGGTGTTGAGGATTAATCAGACCAGACGCGACATTTAACGCGTTTTAAGCGCTTTCGTTTTATATACGACGATTATTTGATGCATACGTTTGTTTGTTATTTGTGAAGCGGAACCCGAGATCTGGAGTCCAGAGATCCAGCCGGACGCGTTCAGAGCAGAATAAACTGTAAACAGTGTGTAGTCATTAGAAATAAAACCGCAGGATTATGTTCAAAAACACATTTCAGAGCGGCTTTCTGTCCATCCTCTACAGCATCGGCAGCAAACCCCTGCAGATATGGGACAAAAAGGTGAGCAGATGCTGGAAATGATGCTAGATTGACTGATGGAGCTCAGATGCTGCTAATGCACTATTTTACATTTAATCTGCATTAGGTGTGAAAACGTATAGCGTCGGTAGCATTATACACATTCTGATCTATAATAGAGACATTATAATACAGATCAGTGGTTTTGGGCATCACCATAATACTGATACTGTTATGGCATTCTTTCAAGTACCTAAGCAGTATATGCTTTAGTGTTTATTAATAGTTTTAATTAGTTATTATTATTTCTCATCTATTTTATTACTTATTATATTTTCTGTTTGCATTTTAATTTTAGTTGTTTTAGTACATCAACTTAAAATGAAAACGATAACTGTTTCCTTAGCAACTAGCTGAAATAAATAAATTTAGTTTGTAATATATATATATATATATTAGTGCTGTCAAACAATTTAATCGCATCCAAAATAAAGGTTTTTGCTCGCATAATATATGTGTGTGTACTGTGTTTATTTATTATGTATATATAAATACAAACACATGCATGTATATATTTAAGAACAATATGTAATGTTTATATTTTAAATATATTTATATATAAATATAAATTATATGAATAAATATATACATGTAAATATTCTCAAAATATATACTGTATGTGTGTGTATTTATATATGCATATAAATAAATATACACAGTACACACACATATATATTATGTAAACAAAAACTTTTCTTTTGGATCCGATTAATTGCGATTAATCGTTTGACAGCACTAGTAGGACATCACTTGTCTAGGTAAAAAAGTAATCTGATTACGCAACTTGCGTTACTTGCAATGCGTTACTACCCCCAACACTGCTCGTCATGACTGCTAATGCAACTCTATCTTTACTATGCAAAGGCTGCATGAATGCAAGAAAGAAAAGACCAGTCATATTTCAGTATGCAAATACTGTGATGACATCATCACCGCTTGTAAAAACATACTGAAATGAGTCTTTAAGTCACGTGGCTCAGGCTGATTCTCACCCGGACGAATGGCTGAGACGGGAATGATGCGATGGCCGATGAACTTGCCACCCTCTTCATACACGGCTATCCTGAGGGACGCCAGCGTGGGCAACACCACCTGACCCGGAAACAACACCGTTATTGATTTCACGTGCTCCGAGCGTCTGACGGACGCTTACGGGACACCGAAAACAGCCGTACTTTTTTAAAGATGATGCGTGCTCCGAGCGTCTGACGGACGCTTACGGGACACCGAAAACAGCCGTACTTTTTTAAAGATGATGGGCTCCTCGTCCCACACAGGGTTGATGGCGTTGCTCTGGGATGTCTTTGTCTTGAAAGCTTTTCGTCTCGTGTCAACGGGAAGTCCAAACATGTCAATTTCCACATAAACGCCCACCTTCTTGTCAGTCAGAAACTGTCCTGATATGATCTAAAGAGACAACGAGATATAAAGGAGCCTGACACTGTATCAGAACTGAAAGTGCTTCAGCTACAGCTAGTTAAAATGAAGTTACTAACAAAACGAAGGGAACGATAAGGGAACAATATTCTTTAAATAATAGCTAAATTACATCATTTTTACAGTGTTTTTCTGGAGCAAAAACAACTTTAGCATTAATATTGAACATACAACATTTAAATTATGAATGGTTTCATTTTTATAGTGTTTTTCTGGAACAAAAACTAATTCGGGCATCAAAACTGAACATATAAATTTAAATGATAAATTATATAATTTTTATAGCATTTTTCCAGAACAAAAACTAATTTGGCAATCAAAATTGGACATACATTTAAATTTAAAAATTATATAATTTATATAGTATTTTGCTGGAACGAAAACTAATTTGGGCATCAAAATTTAGCATATTTGAAGTTTAAATTATAAATCATATAATTTTTTGTATTTTTCTGGAACACAAACTAAATTTAAACGATAAATTATATAATTTTATATAGTACTTTTCTGAAACAAAAACTAAAACAAAGACTAATCAAATAAACAAATGAATTTATGAACAAATAAATTAAAATGATAAGTTATATCATTTTTATAGTATTTTTGGGCATCAAAATTGAACATATATGGTTAAATTATAAATTATATCATATTATTTTTAATTATATCATAGTATATTTCTGGAAAAAAAAGGTAATTTGGTCATCAAAACTGAACATAAATTTAAATTATATATTATATAATTTATAATATTTTTCTGGCACAAAAAAAACTAATTTGGACATCAAAACTGAATATATGAATTTAAATGATCAATTATATAATTTTTATAGCATTTTTCTGAAGAAAAAAAAACTGATGTGGGCATCAAAATTAAACAAATTTAAATGATAAAATATATAATTTTTATAGTATTTTTCTGGAACAAAAACAAAATTGGGCATCAAAGTCGAACATAAATTTAATTATGAATTATATAATTTGTATAGCATTTTTCTTGAACAAAAACTAAATTGTAATTATAAATTATTTAATTTGTTGGTATTATTCTTTTAAATAATAGTCAAATTATATAATTGTTTAGTATTTTTCTGGAACAAAAACAAATTTAGGCATCAAAATTGAACAAATTTAAATGATATATTATTTTTTTGGTATTTTTTGGAACAAAAACTGATTTGGGCATCAACATTGAACAGTTAATAAGTTTAAATTAAAAATGTCATTTTTATAGTATCTTTCTTGAACAAAAACTAATTTGGACATCAAACATAATTGAGCATCATTTTAAATGATAAATTATATAATGTGTATAATATTTTCTGGAACAAAAAAAAAAGGGCATCAAAATTTAACAAATGTATACTAAATATAACAAATAAAATAAAAAAACGTGGAAGTACATTCAATTGCAACTACTGATTGCTTTGCAATAACGCATTGCAAATGAGCTTCCTGGAGCTAAAGGCTTTGACGAGTGAGAAATGTCGAGCTGTATAATACGTCTAACCTTCACTGATAAGGTGTTGGCTACGATGCCATCCACAGTGCTTTCTGTGAAGGGGTCGAAGTGCTTGTCCGGTCGTCTCATGAACTCTGGTTTGAGTCTGTAGCCGCTCTTGCCGTTGTACTCGTACATGCCGAGGTTCAGCTGCATGGACAGATCTGAGAGAGAGACGAGTAAAAACAACAGCTGTAAAGTCAGATTACAGTGGACATTTCATATTACAGTTAAGTCATATTTTCATAAGCCTTTCCCAAAGCATCTTCATTATTCATGGTCTCACCGATGGTCTGAAAGTTGAGTGCGACGAGCTGACAGCCGGCGTTCCAGAAGACCTGCGGCATGTAGTTGGAGGAATCCACACGCGTTCCTTTAGGATAAATCCTGCTCAGCTGAAACTTGTTGTATCTACATGCACACGGTTAAGGGAGTGTCCTAATGAACATCACTGAGAAATCAATAAATCATTCACCTCCATCACAACCAGGACAGACGTGTGATCATCACCAGAACATCACCTGACAAAACAGTAAAGAGATTATATTTTTCATAAAGAAAGATTTTTTTTCTTTATTTTATAATTGTATTTTAATATACTTTTCCACAAAAAAAAAAAAAAAAAATCGAATTAATCAATGATTTATCCTAGTGTTGTTACTGTTGACTAAAACTAAAGCTATTAATATCATTTTTGGTAATTGAAAAATAAAATAAAATGCTAAAAAAATTGATGACAAACTTCGAAAAATTTAAAATTAACTAGAAATTGGAAAAAAAAGGGAATTACATGAGAAATCTAAATATAAAAAAATAAAAATATTATAATTTTTTAATATTTACTTTAAATTATATAATGTATTTAGAATGCATTTTTAAAATTTAAAATATAAATTATCATATTTTCTGTAAAAGATGGCCAGCAAAATTGAAGATATACATTTAAAATATATATTATATAATTTTTATAGTGTTTTCTGCAACAAAAACTAATTTGGGCATCATAATTGAACATAAATTAAATAATAAACTATATAATGTTTATAGTATTTTTCAGGAATAAAAATTAAGTTGGCCATCAAAATGGAATAATTAAATGATAAATTATATTATTATTTTTCTGCGACAAAAAACAATTTGAGAATCAAAATTTAACACCTAAATATAAATTATATAAATTATATTATTATTTTTCTGCGACAAAAACCAATTTGGGAATCAAAATTGAACACCTAAATTTAAATGATAAATTATATCATTTTATATAATTTTTTCCAGGGTAAAAAAAAAACTGGGTATCAAAATGGAATATACACATTTAAATATATATATATAACATCATTGTTTTTCACAGTATAGTAATGAGAATTTGGGGTGAAAATGTAATTAACTGTCATAAAAAAGCTATAAAATAAACAAATGCCGTTCGGTGTCATTGACGTCAAACTTGGCGCAAAACATCTTAATGTGTCACATCTGAACATATGCATGTGAGAATGAGATTTGAGAGCACAGTTTTAGTGAATAACAACTTCTATCTCAGTCCATTCTTCATACTAACTATTAAATAGCTTCTAAAGACTTGAGCATGAGTCAGATGCACTACTGTCTGAAATCTTCCTGACAGATTTGATTATTCAGGTCATAAGTTCTGGCATCAATAATAGATGCGCTTGTCCTGGTTTGCCATCAGTGTCTGGTCAGATGTGTGGGCTGTGTTTTGAAGGATGCTCGACGAACTCCACCGGCGTCTTGGTGAGATGCTCCAGCGCTTTGGTCTCCACGAACGACGACATCTGATAACTGCGTTTGCTTTCTGAGAGCAGACAAATCTACTTTTAATGAGATCTTCATATCAGCCAAGACTCCATCATGTGTATGCAGTCACACTTACTCTTGGAAATCTCAAACGAGTGGAACTTGGTGGGCTGGATGTAGTTGACCAGCGTGGACATTTCTTCAGTGGCAAAGGCTTCACATCCTGCTGTACCCTGAAAAAAACACCACAAAACATATTTTCTGAAGGTTAAGCTCCTGCTTTGATCATTTGTTGTGAAACTTTGTATTTTTTAAGCCTTATTTTGTCATCAAACTGATAAAAAGTATACAAGAGTTAAAATATTTTATTTAGAAGCAGACAGTGTAATTAGCTTCTGCTGATAACCTCAACATGACCCATTAATCAGTTTCAAAAACTAATAAATATAAATATTACATGAAAAGCTGAAACCTAAAAAACTATAAATGAATTAGTAATTAGAAAAAGAAAAAAAAAAACAGATTAAAAACCCTAGAATTTAGAAAGTAAAATGACTAAAACGAAAATAAAGCTATATAGAAATATTTTAATCAACAACAAAAAAATTTGAAATTATTTTAGTTAGCAACATTTATAAGTTGAATTGGAAAGTGCTAAAATTACTAAAACTAAAACTGAAATAAAAATAAATTAAAGCTATATATAAATATTCAATTAAAAATGAAAAAAAAAAAAAAACCCAGAAATTAGAAATGTTGCTCTGGTAATTAACTGAAATAAAAAAGTTAAAGTTGAAGTATTAAAATTACTAAACCTGATATAAAAATAAATGAAAGCTATAAAGAAATACAAAAATAGAAATTATAGAAATTGAAACAAGTTTAAGCTGAAGTACTAAAATGACTAAACCTGAAATAAAAATAAATGAAAGCTATACAGAAATATACAATAAAATAAAATAACAGAAATGTTACCTTTGCAACTAACTGAAATAAATACGGTTATGTTGAAGCACTATAATTACTAAAACTAAAACAGAATTTAAAATAAAAACTATAAAACCTAAAAAAAAAAAATAGAAATTAGAAATGCTGCCTTGGCAACTAACTGAAATAAAACAGGTTTAAGTACTAAAATTATTCAAATGAACTAAAATTAAAATAAATTAAAGCTATACAGAAAAAAAAATTAAAACTAAAGCACCTAACAAAGCTACTAAAGTTTCAAATAAAATGAAAACCGAAAATATACAAATAAAAGCTCATTCAAAATATGAATCAATTCTATAATATAAAAGCATAAACTCTTACTGACCTCGTCCATGGACTTCTTACAGTCATCATCGTCATCATCTTCATCCTCATCATCCTCAGCCTCCACCTCTGCAGGTGCTAAAAGAGAAAAACAGGATCAAATCAAGTGTTCTCAAACTGCGCTGAAGAAAGGCAGAGCTGGTGTGAGATATAAGCAGAGCTCAGAGACAGACAGCTGACAGACATGATGAACTCGACCGACACACACTAATGAAAACTCTATCATCATTTACTCTTCCTCGTGTGATTTCAAACCGGCATTACTTCCAAACAACAACGGTTCACAGTGACTGCATCAGTCTCCAAAAACTCCCCACTGTCATTTATGGGGTGATCGATTTTATTTGTGCATAAATATAAAGTATTTATTGAATTATTTATGTATCTTTAAATAATAATTTTTAAAAATGTCATTCATGGGTGGTCTGTTTCACCTGTGCATATATATATATATATATATATATATATATATGTCACACCTCTGTTCATCAATCTGCACTGGCTACCAGTAGCTGCTATTTATTAAATAGTAATAAATAAATTAGACAATTGTCAGTTTTGGGTGATCTGTTTTATTTGCACATAAATATAAATAGTTTATTTAATCTTTTTTTATCATTAAATATCAATAAATAAATCAAATAATTGTCCTTAATGGATTTGTGCATTTTTGTAATTATTCATTTATAATTAAACAAGTATCAATATATAAACTTTATATAATTGCCATTAATGGACAATCTATTTAATTAGTGCATAAATATAAATTATTTATTTAAATATTTATTTATCATTTATCTATCCATCCATCCATCCATCCATCCATCATCTATCTATCTATCTATCTATCTATCGTCTGACTATTTCTATCTATCTATCTATCTATCTATCTATCGTCTGACTATTTCTATCTATCTATCTATCTATCTATCTATCGTCTGACTATTTCTATCTATCTATCTATCTATCTATCTATCGTCTGACTATTTCTATCTATCTATCTATCTATCTATCTATCGTCTGACTATTTCTATCTATCTATCTATCTATCTATCTATCGTCTGACTATTTCTATCTATCTATCTATCTATCTATCTATCGTCTGACTATTTCTATCTATCTATCTATCTATCTATCTATCGTCTGACTATTTCTATCTATCTATCTATCTATCTATCTATCGTCTGACTATTTCTATCTATCTATCTATCTATCTATCTATCGTCTGACTATTTCTATCTATCTATCTATCTATCTATCTATCGTCTGACTATTTCTATCTATCTATCTATCTATCTATCTATCGTCTGACTATTTCTATCTATCTATCTATCTATCTATCTATCGTCTGACTATTTCTATCTATCTATCTATCTATCTATCTATCGTCTGACTATTTCTATCTATCTATCTATCTATCTATCTACCCATCTACCCATCTACCCATCTACCTATCTATCTATCTATCTATCTATCATTAAATAATTATCAATAAATTCAATAATTGTCATTTTAGGCGAAAAATATAAACAGTTATTTTTTTATTTTTTTAAACAGTATTATTATTATTATTATTTATAATAAATACATTTTATTTATCTATCTATCTATCTATCTATCTATAATACGTTCATCAAATATAACATAAATGATATTTTTTTGATTCTGCAAGCATCTGATAAGTGCGCTCTCGTCACAGCAGTCATGGATCATGTGAAAGGGCTGTGATGATTTCCGGGTCTCTGTGGTGTTACAGGTGGATCCACACAGTCCTGCTGAGGAACCAGCTGTTCAACATCTGCTTTCTGCATCAGTGCTGTCTGGACTCAACCTTTCAGAGCCCTCGCATCCATCAGACGCTACCGACGCCTCCGTCACACACAAACACAGGCTGAAATGTCAGCCGCTTGACTCTCCGCATGCTGTGACACACACAGAGCGGCTCACGGCCCTCAAAACCAGCAGAGACCGGCGGCGAGAGTTCATGCCGTCTGCTTCTGCTCTGCAATCGCTCTTTCTTTCGACTTGCTAAAGATAGACATGAGCACAATCCCCATAATAGCACTTTTGAAAGATTTCAATACACTCTGGAAACCGGCTGCCGCTTTTCGACAAATGTCAGATATCAATGGCAAAAAGTGCACTTGGATCAAAGTTATAATTTTGTTGTCTGTATTGTTACTCCCAAGGCATTTAAGTTGCACTTCCAGCAAACAACTACCAGACAGTGAATTTACCAAACTAACTAGGCTCACAATTGTATATTTTGGAAATTCATAGTGGAATTTATATTAAATGTATATATTGGAAATTTATACAAATGTAATTTTTATTTGTTTTATTACAGTATATTGCAGATTTACAATTTAGAAATGTAATTTTCATTTATGATATTATATTTTTACAAATTAGAAATGTGATTTTAATTTATGATATTATATTTTTACAATTTAGAAATGTGATTTTAATTTATTATATAATACAGATTCATTTATTACATAATATATAGTTTATTTACTATTTAGAAATGTAATTTTAATTATTATATTATATTTTAACAATTCAGAAATTACATTTTAATTTACTATATAATATGTGACCCTGGAGCACAAAAGCAGTCTTAAGTCGCTGGGGTATATTTGTAGCAATAGCCAAAAATACATTGTATGGGTCAAAATTATCCATTTTTCTTTTATGCCAAAAATTATTAGAATATTAAGTAAAGATCATGTTCCATGAAGATGTTTTGAAAATGTCCTACTGTAAATATATTAAAACTTATTTTTTGATTAGTAATATGCATTGAACTTCATTTGGACAACTTTAAAGATGATTTTCTCAATATTTAGATTTTTTTTGCACCCTCAGATTCCAGATTTTCAAATAGTTGTATCTCAGCCAAATATTGTCCTATCCTAACAAACCATACATCAATGAAAAGCTTATTTATTCAGCTTTCAGATGACGTACAAATCTCAATTTCGAAAAATTGACACTTAAGACTGGTTTTGTGGTCCATTTATCACATACAAATTATTTTTGATTTACTGACATTTTTATTTTTTATTTATCATACTATATTGTATATTTACAATTTAGAAACGCATACAAATTTAAACGGTATTTAATTTACAATTTTCAAATTAAACTTGAATTATATTGTTATATTATATTACATTTACTATTTACAAATACAAATGTAATTTGAATTTGTCATATATTGTATATTTACAATTTATAACAAAAATAATTATAACAAAACAGTACAGTATACTGTATCATTACAATTTATAAATTATACTTAACATTTTCAATTTAGAAATGTAATTTTAATGGGTTTTTTATTTTTTTATTTTTTTATAATAAAATATGCATCCATCCATTCTCCAAACAGCTTATCCTATAGGGTCGAGGAATTATATGATATTACATAATTTACAAATTTAATTTTATTAAATTATTTTGTATATTTATAATTTACAAATTTCTACAAATTTTATTTGAATTTGTCATACCTTGTATATTCACAACTTTCCAACAAATATATACACATTTATCTTTTATTTACAATTTAAAAATATTTTAATTTATTATATTACATTTTTACTTTTAATTTACTAATTTCTACAAATTTAAATGAGTTATATTTTATTTACAATTAATAAATGCTAACAACAACAGCACTACAGTTTGTATATTTTCAAATGTCAGCCATGTAAATTAAAAATTACTAATTTTTTTAATTAATTATTTGAATAAATATTTAAAATAACTTAAACAAATGTATTTAAATATGATTTAATGTAGCAGTGGCTGGCTCAATCATGCAGATTTCAGGGGGAAATATGAGCACTGTTCTAATACCTGCGGGTCCAGCGCTGGGTGAGGACGGCTCAAAGACGCTGGACGAGTCGCTGTTTGTGTTGGACGCCTGTTCGGACAGCTTCTTCTTAGTGCTGCCATCGGAGGGTTTAGGGTGAGATTTCTTGTTCTTGACGAGGATCTTTCCAATGAGCTCTTGAGGGCTTGGCAGAGGAACGCCTGGCTCGAGCTGAAACGCCACAGCAGAATCTGTCATGAGAACACTGAACGCACGCGCCGCAAAAAGAGCACGAATGCATGTGGGAGAGATCCACTTACAGGATATTTCTCCAGAGTCTCAGTCAAAAGAGCGTCCCCGAATATGGATCGGCAATATTCTGCCATTTTGGCTTGCTGTTTGGGGCTGCGATGCAACAGAAACACAATTAGAGCTGCCATCAGTGCACAAATAACGCAGAACAAAATTAGCGTCTGTAACGTTTGCTGCATAATCAGACAAAAATTAAATCTGCAGACCTTTTTCATTATTTATTCAATGATTTAGGGGGAAATTTTGTAGAATTTCGCAGAATAGATTTAAATATAGCAATAAATAAAATGTAGTAAAATCATACTGCAAGCTGAAAGCATAATAAAAGAAAAGAAAAGAAAAGAAAAGAATATAACAGAATAATATAATATAATATAATATAATATAATATAATATAACAAAACAAAACAAAACAAAACAAAACAAAAAATAAAGTTAAAAATAAAATAAAATTACGTTAAATAAAATTTTAAATCTTTGCTGATTTAGGGGTAGATTTTGTAGAATTCTGCAGAATAGATTTAAATATGGCAATAAACAAAATGTATTGAAAACTTATTGGAAGTTGAAAGCATAATAACAATTAATAAATAAAATAAAATAAAATCATATTATCTGATTTAGGGGGAAGTTTTGTAGAATTCTGCAGAATAGATTTAAATATGGCAATAAACAAAATGTACTGAAAACTTATTAAAAGCTGAAAGCATAATAAAAAAAACTAAAAAAAAAAATAACACAAAGCAAAAAATAAATAAATAAATAAAAAATAAAATAAAATCATATTATCTGATTTAGGGGGAAGTTTTGTAGAATTCTGCAGAATAGATTTAAATATGGCAATAACTAAAATGTCCTAAACTCTTATTGGAAGCTTTCTGCATAATGAAATAAAATCTAAATCTAAAATAAAGAATATTACAATGAATAAAATAAAATCTACTAAACTCTTATATAGAAGCTGAAAGCATAATTAAAAAAAAATAAAAATAAAAATAAAAAAAAACAAAATATATAAAAATATAGAATAAAATAATCTAAGATTAAATTACATTAAATTAAATCTTTGCTGATTTAGGGGAAATGTTGTAAATATGGTAAAATATGCAATATGGTAATGAATAAAATGTCCTAAACTCTTACTGGAAGCTGAAAGCATAATTAAATCAAATATAGAATAAAATAAAAGTAAAGAATAAAATCAAATAACTATTACAATTATTTCAAAATTAGCCCCTTACAACGTTCACATGCATCTCCACCTGTGATGTTACTGAAGAGCATGCACATCTCATGTCATCTCTGATTTCATGCAGAAAATGAAGCGAGTGCTCAGCCGCCAGCGCGTGTGACATCCCACAAGAGAACAATGATGACTTCTGCATAATGAAATAAAATCTAAATCTAAAATAAAGAATAACACAAAGAATAAGAATATAGATTAATCTAAAATACAGTCTACTAAACTCTTATTGGAAGCTGAAAGCATAATTAAAAAAATAAATAACAATTATAAAAAAAAATAAAAATAAAAATAAAAAAAAACAAAATATATAAAAATATAGAATAAAATAATCTAAGATTAAATTACATTAAATTAAATCTTTGCTGATTTAGGGGAAATGTTGTAAATATGGTAAAATATGCAATATGGTAATGAATAAAATGTCCTAAACTCTTACTGGAAGCTGAAAGCATAATGAAATCAAATATAGAATAAAATAAAAGTAAAGAATAAAATCAAATAACTATTACAATTATTTCAAAATTAGCCCCTTACAACGTTCACATGCATCTCCACCTGTGATGTTACTGAAGAGCATGCACATCTCATGTCATCTCTGATTTCATGCAGAAAATGAAGCGAGTGCTCAGCCGCCAGCGCGTGTGACATCCCACAAGAGAACAATGATGACTGAAAACAAATTATGCATCTCAGAGACGCTTCTAATCACTCTACTCCTTGTTGCCATAGCTGCAGTCGGCCCCGAGGAGCCGCGGCGCTACGGGAAGAAAACTAGCAGCGTCTACACGTACGAGTCCACGTGATTCTCAAAGGACAGGATGATGGGGAACGGAGACGTCTTGAACGCACACTCAGCGATGGCTTCGATCACTTCCTGGAAAATAAGAACAGATTAAATTGAATTTAGTCATTTATCTAACATGAAATATTTCAATATGTCAAAGTGTAGTAGCTCTATTTATATTGTTTATTTGTAATTTTTTAATGCAGTTATAATATTGAATGCACAGCTGATTTTTTTATTATTGTATTTTCTATTTCACTTGTTACTGAATACAATGTACATTAATTAGGTTTTGTTTTATTATATAAATTAAACTATTCACTACCGGTCAAAAGTATATATGGACTAATTTAATTAATGGATTTTAATTAATTATTAATTTTAATTTTAATTAATTATTAATAATTGAGCAGCAAATCAGCATATTAGAATGATTTCTGAAGGATCATGTGACATGAAGACAGTTTGCATCACAGCAATAAATTATATTTTAACATATATTCACATAGAAAACAGCTATTTTAAATCGTAATAATATTTCACAATATTACTGTTTTAATGTATTTTTGATCAAATAAATGCAGCCTAGAATGTACTAAACTCTTATTAGAAGCTGAAATAAAATATATACTGAAAATAAAATAAAATAAAACAAAATAATAACATAAAAAAATAAAATTATAAAATAAAATTATGCAAACTAAATTTAAATATGGTAATAATTACAATGCGCTAAACTCTTATTGGAAGCTGGAAGCATAATAAAATATAATAAAATTAATTAAAATAAATCAAACAACAAACTACAGAATAAAGTAAAATATAATAAAATCTTCACTGGTTTAGGTGGAATTTTTTTTGGAATTCTGCAGAATAGACATAAATATGGTAATACAATGTACTAAACTTTTAATGGAAGCTGAAAGCATAATGACATAAAATATAAAATAAAAATAAAGAATAAATTAAATAATTATTAAAATGAATTATTTTACAATTAATACAATTTAATAAATTTAAACAAGCACTCACAGGGCTATTAACTTCTGCAGACTGATTTTGTTTGCGACTGTGTATCAGACAGTGAAAAAATGACTCTCATTTTATGGAAACGGCTCCAAAAGCAGAAAATAGCTCTGAGTTAAGCACTACTTAACTGAGAGCACTGATGAAAAGCTCAAGCGTAACCTAACTCTCGTGTGGTGGAGTGCTGCGGGTCACCTTGAAGGAGATTTCTGAGGTCATGGTGAAGCCGTGTGTGATGACGGGTTCCTCCTCCGCCGTCCGGCCCTTCCAGCAGTCCAGCTCCACACAGCGACAGCCAGACAGCAGCGTCTGCCGGTACATCTCAACAGAGGAGTTCCCCGCGAGCTGCCCCGCTGACAACACACACAACCCCTCAGCAAATGCAAACTAATATACACTCAAGCAAATACTTGAGCTGTGTGGTATGAAAGCTTGTTTCCACTACGGGATAAAAAAATTTAAAATGTAATTGAATGAACAGAATGAAGTTTTTTGAAAATCTAAAAATGCAGAAAGTTTCCTGTAAGGGGTAGGTTTAGGGGTAGGGTTGGTAGTACCTGTGAGGTAAGTGTTGTGGGAGGAGTTGATGAAGTACTGAGAGAGAGGGAAGGTCATGTCTTCACTCTGGTCCAGTTTTTCTGGAGGAATGACGCTGTTCTCCTCACTGATCAGATACCTGGCGAAGCCCTCCACTGAGATCTGCCCTGTTACACAATTAAGATTAAAAAGGTGCATGCATCACATTTCAGTAGAGAAGACAATAGGCATCATTTCAGGACTTTTAAACTGCAAAATTGCATTCACAACCCAGCTGACTCCCGTAACGTGTTATATTTTGACTATTACTATCATTCAAAACTATGAGGTCGATAAGATTTTTTAAATGTTTTTGAAAGAAGTCACCAAGGCTGCATTTATTTGATTAAAAATAGAATAAAAATAATAAAATTGTAAAATATCATTACTATTCAAAATAACACAATAAAGCAAACTGATATAAAAAATTATATAATAATATAAAAATGTAGTTTAATAGTTAATTGCAAAGATACAATTTCTAATTTTCATTAATAGAATAAATTAATGAAATAGAATAAAAATAGTAAAATATTATTACTATTCAAAATAGCTGGTTTCTATGTGAATATCTGTTAAACTGTAATATATTTCTGTGATCAAAGCTGCATTTTCAGCATCATTACTCCAGTCTCTGTTAAACTGTAATATATTTCTGTGATCAAAGCTGTATTTTCAGCATCATTACTCCAGTCTTCAGTGTCACATGATCTTCAGAAATCAGTATAATTTTCGCTGCTCAGGAAACATTTCTGATTATTGCATTTTCATGCATTTTACTTTTCAGGATTCTTTGAAGAACAGAAAGTTCAAAAGAACGGCATTTATTTGAAATAGAAATCTTTTGTAACATTATAAATGTCTTTACTGTCACTTTTAATCAATTAAAATTGTCCTTGCGAAATAAAAGCATTAATTTCTTTCAACAGTTGAGACGATTGTGTATTAAGTTCATGACAGTTGAACACTATGCATGCAACAGAGTTGATTTCTCCTCCGAATATTCTCTCTCTCTTTCTCTCTTTTGCACCTAAAGTAACAACTCGTCTCGTGGAGTAAATTAGCACTGCGATTGCAAACAGACTTCAAATTAAACTCAAGCTGGAGATCAGCGCTCCCTAAACAGCACTCGCGGCTGAAGGGAAGCCACTCGGGGACGAGCGTCCCCCGTGACTCATTCTCACCAGCAGTTTACATTAATTAAACTTGTTCTTTGCAGAGCTCCGGAGGTAATTAACCGCGGCCCTCTTTTCTAGGACGGCACGGCGCAGGCTGGATGACATGTGTCAGAGCAAATGCAGGGGGGATTGCTCCAGAGCAAACAGACACCGAAATAACACCAACCACCTTGCTGTCGCGAAAGGGGAGTCAAAGGGGTTTTAAAGACTACAATTACCACACACTGCTGAAATTCAGCAATTGTCCTGTTGAGTTAAACGAAGAACGAAAGAACAGGATTGCATCTGCTGTCACGGTCCTGCATCCTAAGGTGGTTTTCAGGCCTGTTCAGACAGGTCTAATTTCAAGATTTTCAGAGGGTTTTGTGCTGTTTGGGCTTGTCTGAACTAGTCTGACAAACCAATCAACCGTTTTATGTGACTGCCTTAAAGTATAAACAATTTTAACCCTATAAAGCTATGGTATCATATTTGATATGCAATTTTTTTAATGATCTAAATGATTAACATGATCAAAATTTTGCTGATAATCCTGTTGTTCAAGTCTGATTGATAATTTAGAGGTTTTTTTTATCCAGTAAAAGCTCTTTTAGTGTAATTGTACAAACGCTTCACGTGTCTTTCTGCTGTCAAATCTTGACTGATTTTATCAAGTAAACATCAGAATAACTCATATTGTTAGTGATATTTCAAGATGAACATTTACTGGACTGTTAAGCGTGGTATTTTAGTATCTATGATATAATATTAGTTTTTGTTAGTATTTTAAATTAGATTTTATTTTAAAGTTTTAGCAATTTTGTTGTGTTTTATCGTTATGATTTTTTATGATGTCTATACTGTTTTTATTAAGTTTTAGTTTATTTAATATTTTGAATTAGATTAAATTTTTTATAGTTTCTGTTTTCATTTGAATTTTAATTAATGTTTTATTAACTTTATTTATTGTCTATATTGTTTTTATAACATTTTTAGTTCATTTAGTTAATATTTTGAATTCGATTTGTTTTATATAGTTTCTGTTTTCATTTTAATTTTAGGTAAAGTTTTATTAACTAATTATTTTCAATATTGTTTTATATTAAGTTTTAATTTTAGTTCATTTAGTTAATATTTTGAATTAGATTTTATTTTTATATTTTCTGTTTTCATTTTCATTTTAGTTAATTTAAGTTTTGCAATTTTGCAATTGTTTTTATTTTTTTTTTTGTAATATGTCTATATTGTTTTTGTTCAATTTAATTTTAGTTTAGTATACTTTTTGAATATTTTATTTTATTTCAGTTAACGTTTATTTTATTTAAATAATTTTTTATAATTGTATTTTTATTTAGCAATAATAACCTTCAGTTGAGTAAATCATCATCATCATCATCATTTATTTATTTTAGAAAAATCTAAAGTATAAAATATGATCATCAGGCTTTTGGGGAGCGTTTATTTCTTCAGCTCTCAATCAGCACTGGATTGCACTGCATTATATGTTTGGATAATTTCAATCTCAGTTTATCAGGCTTTTGGGGAGCGTTTATTTCTTCAGCTCTCAATCAGCACTGGATTGCACTGCATTATATGTTTGGATCATTTCAATCTCAGTTTACTGAGACAGATTATTGGAGATATAGAGTGACGACTGATATTTATATCATTTTATGTCATATCTGCTCTACTGTTATAAAGATCTCATTGATTTACATTACAAGCATCAGAATTTCATCACTTTTTGTCCATAAAAATATCAGCATCTGCACCAAATTGCATATATATATATATTATTCTCTTAATATAACTGAGCAGTTTTTTCCATCATATTCTCACTATATATATATGATGCTCAACAAAAAAACGCATATGCAACCGTTTTCTAAGATGTGCTTTTATATTTTGTCTAAAGATACAATAAACTCTCCCATTTAAAAAAAGATGTGATTATTTCATATGTCAGGCTTTACAGGGTTAAAGAAAAGATGCATGATTTTTTTAACAGCCCTTTCAAATACAAAAATAAGCACCTCGTCTCCAGCGTTTACAGACTATCGGACAATGACTGTCGCTCGGGCACAATATAATCCTGCCAACGCAGACCATTCCCGCATTTACAACCCGATTGTTCCTCCAAATCTACAATCAATAGCCTACTACTCAAATATCAGCATCTCTCGTGTGTCTGCTGTGTCTCGTGTGGGCGTTCGCCTGTCCTCTGCCTGTCTCTGAGATCGGACTGAGAAAATAGAGTCGCTAATCTGCGTGACAGCAAGGTGTCATGCTAGAACCGCCAGCTAAACAGCCCGATGATCATCCTCATCTATGGCCATCGCTGGCCCCTCTGGACTCAATGTGCCTGATCAATCACCTGTCACGCTAACGGCCGCCTGCGCATTATCATCCAGTGACCTGGTCTCCAGTTCGCCCATGGAGAGATATAAATAACCCGGCTCCACTGCAGCATCAGACCGCATCTCGTGAGTTATTGTTGCTATGGTAATGAAACGGTGCAGAATGTTATGGAGGTTTTGTTTTCTTTGCACAGAATAAGAAAACTCAGAGACTCTGTTCCAAAAACAAGTGCACTTCCTCGCTGTCTGCTCTTCTAAGGCGACACCCTAACAGAAACAGATCCTTATACTGTATATGAATGATTTGCAATGTATAAAAGTACATACTGCACAAAAATGTTGGTTAAATACATTTTTTATTGAATCAAGCTATTTAATTCTCAGTATAGAGTATATCAATTAGCATATTAATATACTAATACTTATAAACTAAAATGTACTTATATAAATGTGTTATTTATTTGTATTCATTAGCATTTGAAATGAATTAATTTACATAGGCAACATCCAATAGATCCTTAGAGGTGATGGATTTAAAATGTATAAGCATTAAATATATATAAATGTTGGGTGAAATAATCAATATTTAATTGCATTAAACAATTAAAATTGATACATTTCAGTCTAGAATGAATTAGTATATGAATACACAAAATGTATACTAAAATATATGTATACTAATATAAATAATACACTAAAATAAATATATACTAATGATATTTGTATTGATTAGTACAAGTGTTAAATCCTAACTGAAATATTAAACTATTAATATTTCAAACTAAAGTACTATGTATTAAACTATTTATAACTATATTTTTTTAGTTTAGAATCAAATAGTTAATTAATTAGTATAATAATGTAATACTTATATACGAAAAGATACTTATAGTATACTAATATAAAAATATACAAAAAAAATATATATATATATATATTAATATACTTATTAAAAAAAATAAATATATATATTAATATACTTATTAAATTAGTTATTTACATTCTAAAGCAACATCCTAACTGAAACAAATCATTATAAATGTAAGATTTAAAATACATAAAAAACACAAAAAGCATAAAATTCCATACTGCACAAAAATGTTGGGTAAAATAATCAGTTTTTAATTGGATTACACCATTTATATCTATATTCTTCAGTTAAGAATGAACTATTATACTAATTAGTATAATTATATTAATTAGTATATTAATATACTAACGACATACCAGTGTTATTTTAGTATCATTGAGATACTATTATAGTTTTTGTTAAAGGTTTTAATTAGACTTTATTTTTACATTTTCTGGTTTCATTTTAATGTTAGTTAAAGTTTTAGCAATTTTGTTGTGTGTCTTTGCCAGTTTTATTAATTTTGTTGTTTTAATTCATTTTTATTTCAGTTTTAGTTTTTTAGTTTTTAGTTTTTTGTTGTACAAAGTACAAGTTAAACTAAATTAAAATGAGAAACCGATTATCGGAAACTAGCTGAAATAAAATACGTTTAAGTCTGTTATATTTTATTTTATTTTATTTTATTTCAGTTAACATTTATTCTATTTCAAGTAATACATTTTTTATGGTTTTAGTTTTAGTTAATTAAAATAATGTTTTAAATGAGAGATGTAAAATGTTTAATAAGCATAAAATACATACTGCACATAAATCTTGGGTAAAATAATTTAGAATTTATATCTATACACTTCAGTTTAGCATGAATTGGTATTAATTAGTACAATTATATGAATTAGTATATTAATTTACTAAAATGTACTTACATACTAATATAAATTATATACTAAAATAAATAAATACTAATAATATACATATTTAATTAGTGCTTATAAATGAGAGATTTAAAATGTAGCCTATAATACACATAAAAATACATACTGCACAAAAATGTTGGGTAAAATAACCAATGATTTAATCTGATTAAACTTTATATCTATTCTTTTCAGTTTAGAATGAATTAGCATATTTGTTAGTATATATAAAAAAGTATATTAACTATTCATATTTTGTTTCCCATCATTTGCTCCAACGTCTGCTTTTCAGCGAATCAGGTAGGGCGAAAGTCACAATCTAATTAATATTCATGACCCTGTGTGCTGATTCGCTGACAGACAGCGAACCTCCTGAGAAGGACGTTGACAGGACGAAATGACTAAGAATATCTGACAAAAACATGCATGTTTATATTTAGCCGTTGCAACAATGTTTCAGGCCTAATTATTAATCTTTCATGCCGAAAATTCTCAAATGTGACTCGTGTTTCTGTAAAGTTAATATTTTCAAACAGAACCTGATATGAGCGTATCCATGGCAACAGGCATTTAAAACGGATGGGATTTATAATAGGATCGTTCCTGGTTAAATTCTGAGGTTTTTGCTGTTTGAAACGACAGAGAACATCGAAATACATCAGTGTTTTAAAGCCGCTGTCAATCAATTAGTTGAGTGGAAAAACTAATGAGGGATTAGATTTCATATTAGCATGATGATGGGACCAGACGGCGCTCGATTATAAAGACCTGATGTCTTCTGCTCTTATATAAATGCAACACCTCATGGGAACGCGAGGCAAAACCCTCCCACGCAATTATCAGCAATTAACAATTACATGGAGCTGTCTAGCAGCGATTGATGGAGAAACACATTGCAAACAGAGCTAATCGCCGTCTTGGGTCGCACTGCGGCACATGCCACTCTCAGGGATGATGGGATACAGAGAAAACACCATCCTGCCAGGACAATCAATAGTCTGTGCTGCTGGATTCAAAGCAAACTTCACTCAACACACCCAAGCCATGCTGCATTTGAAAGCTGTAGCGAAGGGGAAGATTTTCAGTGAATTATGACTAACAAAGTTTCTCTCACAAAGCGTCACATGACTTTAGAAGATTTTCAATATTGTGAATGAGTCATTTGAAATACTGTTATGGTGTTAGTTTAGTCACTGTGAACTAGAGCTGAAAGATTAATTGAAATAAAATCAATATTGCAGATTTGTAATGAGAAGCATTAATAAAGCTGTTGCCAAAAATGGAGACGATTAAGGGCTTCATGCAGTTTTCCGCCAAAATAAAAGCTTGATGGGTTAATGCTTGGAAATGAAGAAATGAAGACATAAATATAATAATAATAATAATAAAAATAAAATATTATTATTATTATTGTTATTTATTCCTATTTTATTAATATTGTATTAATATTATTTATTAATAATATTAGTAAGAGTACTACTAAAATACTAGTAGTATTTTATAGCCATACTGATACATAATCCCAATGTTACTTTGGCCAAATTGTGGAGCCCTACATACAATCAAATTATTATTATCATTATTATTATTAAATACTTTATTTGTTTTATTTTATCATGAAATTGTATTATAACAATAATAACATATTCCTTATTTGATTTAAAATTTAATAATAATAATAATAATAATAATAAAATTATTATGATATATTTTTATTAATGTTATTAGTAGTAGTACTGTTATTTTATACACATACTGATATATAAACCCAGTATGATTTGGGCCAAATTTTGCAGTCCTTCATACAAAAAAAAAAAAAAAACGATTATGATAATAATTATTAATAATTATAATTGTTATTGTAGATTTATTTTTTAATTTTTTATTGTGAAAGTATTATAACAACAGTAATATATTCCATTTGGTTTACTATTTATTATTATTATTATTATTATTGTATTGTTAACTTTATTATTATTAGTAGTCTATACTAGTAGTCTATAGTAATTTATAATTCATACTGATATATAATCCTAATATGTTTTTTTGAGGCAAAATTTTGCAGCCCAACATACAAACACAGCAAACTTGGATCTCTAAATTAATTAATAGATAAACAAATAAATTAATGTACGAATAAATAAATAAAAATCACATTCACAATCTTAATCTGAAAAAAAAAAAACACTTACATTTTTCCCCCAAATCATTCAGCCGTACTATAAAGCAGGGAAAGAGCATC